AACAGGATGAGATATTTTGCTTTTGTATAATGCATTCATAACAACTGCAGAAAGTATACTTAGTACTATAGGATACAAAGATGAACTGTCCACACTGTGTTGCCATTTGATGACTCTGTAATATGAAACAGTACATGAAATTTTGCAGCCTACAGAAGTATCAGATATGCTCAACCCAGTAACCAATGGCACAGAATGTTCATCTATACGAATACAAGAAAACCTTTCCATAGAGAAACAAGGAGGCTGTCATTCATGACCTCTTCTAAAATGACTAGTTGCCTGGTTGTCCTTTTGGCACATTTGCTTTATTTCTACAATTCATCAACCCTGATCCAAGTACTGGTACAGAAAAGGACCTCTGGCTTTTCTGAATTCTCTGAATTGTATGTTCTGTACTTGTTCCAGGTGACTCAGAAACTATTGAAGCCAGAGGCTCAGCAAAACAGATAGGAAACAAACATTTTCAGCAGAAGGCATTTTCCCATGGCATTTCCACAGTAGCTTAATAAGTAACAGGTTAAAAGATACTTGCGATCCATAGCACACCAAGGTAAAATATAGTAATGTAACTGATGGAATGTTTGGTCCCTGCCAATTTCAACTATTAATACATTTTCTACACCTTAAGTAAAATGTTGATGTTTTTATAGCTAAACGTGATAATATTAGGTAGGTAATAGTTTTTTTATCGCTAAACATGATAGTACTATAGATAAACTTGATGTATTTGACCACATTATAAAAACATAATATGAGACTTATGATTTTTCAGCAATGTAATCACGTGAAAATGAATTACAATAACAAAAATGGTGTAAGGTTTTAGGAGGTACCAAGGTTCAGTTTAGGGATAATTTTTCCTAACTAAGAATGGTCTGTTAAATATACCATTGACAATATTTTATTATATATGCTCAATAAGTGCAAAAAACCCTGTTAATCATATCAGAAATCTTGTGAGCTGATAATGTACTGTACTCTCTGACTGGGCTGCACTCTTATCAGTTACATTGTTACCAGCTATGTCTGAGTACTACAGAACCTCTTCCCTCAATGTTATGAAGGTAAGAAGAGGTGGAGAGGTAGAGATGTTGTGTAGCCCTGACAACACTGCTCCTCCATAGATACAACATGGTGATTCAAGGAGAACTATGGGGTTAAGGCTTTTCCCCATAGTGCTCTTTAGGGTAACGGGAGGACACAAACTAGCTCAGTATACCGCAAGCTGTACTGAGACGCCACAGTATACCGCGAGCTACTGCTACTGCTCGCGGTATACTGCGACGCCACAGTATACAGCGAGCTACTGCGTGAAGCTTCCACCCTAGCCTTCACTAAACAATAGGCAAAAAAACAACACTCGCAAGGGGATCCGTCCATCCAATACTTTATTTGCAAAAAGGCACAAAAGCCGCAAACAAATGCTTTCATGTTTCAGCCCCCAAACTGGGCCTTAAAGAAGAACTATGGGGTTAGGGCTTTTCCCCATAGTTCTCCTTAGGGTAATGGGAGGACACAAACTAGCGTCCTCCCGTCACCCTAAGCTCAGTATACCGCTAGCTACAGCTCGCGGTATACTGAGACGTCGCAGCTGAAGCGGATCCCGACAATTATGTCTGGATCCGCCCAGCTGCGTGAGTGACAGCTGGCTCTGCCAATCTAGAGGCAGAGCCAGCTGTACCTGCCCCCTCCCCCGTCCGATCTGCCAGTCAGCACTGGAGGATCAGAGCGGGGAGGGGGAATCCAGACCCTCCCCTGTCACGGCAGAGAGCCGTGACAGGATCGACAAGTTAGTGAACGCCGGTATGTGTTCGCTCACTTCCAGATCTATTGAGCCGACCTGTGACAGTTTCATTGTCACAGGTCGGCTAGAACTATGAGGTGAGTAAACGCACTCACCTCATAGTTCTCCTTTAAGTGTTTAAACCTTGGGGAAGAAAAAGTGTTACTGGCAGGATCACCAAAATAAATGGAAAGAAAATGAACAAAAGAAAACTATTATAGCCACTTCTTCTAAGTTTAATAATGTTTTATGATCTTGCTTTAATGCAGTTACAAATCAGGTTTAGAACTAAAATAAGTATTTCTGAGTATGCAGGTAACATAAAGCTATGTAGTGGACTTCCAATTAAATGCCTGTTTTGGTGACCATTGTCTAAGAGAGGACATTTCCTTGTTTTGGAAAGATCTGGTCTGGACTTCCAGCTCTGTCTCTGCGGGAGGAAGTGAAGGTAAATCTCCCAATGGGACACAGGCAGATTTAAAAAAAACAAACTTACATGGGTTGTAACCCTTTACTTTCTTTATTCAAAACATAAATGTTTTGGCTTTACAAAATCTTTAAGCAATGCATGGACTACTATGTCCCAGATGCAAATGTGATGCTATAGACATTATACTTGACTTAGATATTACACATATTCTGGTTAGTTTGCTTTTGCTTGATATTTAGATATGGCTTTCAATCACTTCAATTTATGATCTACATTTTCTGAAATTCTGCTAAGAATGTACAAGTGTAGTTATAAAAGAAGCACTTTTAACCCCTTCATGACTGAGCTTGTTTTTTGTTTCTGTTCGTAAATGACTGACACACCTTTAACATTTTTGCTGTGTGATTCTTCCACGTCAGTAATATACTTTCTTACAAAGTGCACCCACACATATTATATATTGTTTTTTAGAGGACAGATAGGGCTATATATTTATATCACATATGTGTGTCTAATGCCTCACTTAGGACAAATAAAATAAGAGGAAAAATTAAAAAAAAGAGGAAAAAACGTAAAAAAAAAACACTTTTTTCCCACTTTTTTAGCACAGCTAAAACAAAAATGCAATAAATACATTCATTTATTTGTCCCTTTTTTTTTACACTTTTCACTTTTTTAAACTTAAAAATGTTATTTTATTTATTTAATTATATCAAGCAGTCATTGTGAATTAATCTCACTATTACTGCTTGATAGATTAATACATTTTTGGTTATTATCAGGCTGCTTCAAACTTCAGAACAGCCGATAATAAGTTAGTGACACTGATCCTGCAGCAGTTCAGGATTCAGCTGTCACTAGTTTTCTGATTGTTGCAACAACGATTAGAAAACAAACATTCTTCTTTCAGGAATAGATACATTATGTATCAATTCCTGAAAGTGAAAGAAAAAAAAAAGCCAGTATAGCTTGAGAGAGATATCTCTCGATCTATATGAGTTGTCAGAATGCCGGCAAAAGCCGGCATGTTTGCCGGCTCTGCTGTGACTCTCAGACACCCGATCTTCAGGTATCGGGTGTCTGAAAAAGGTTAAAACTTTCATTAATGGATGCCTCTAAACTTAAGGCATCCACTAATGAGTGATAACCGCTGATTCTCAGCGGTTACCAGCCTTCTAGTGCAGCAAACAACTCATCACGTACAGTGTACCTGACGAGTCATTTGGTCCCTTTGTGGCGGGACGTACAGTGTACGTCTCCCGTCACGAAGGGGTTAAATTCAAATTTATATGGATATATAAAATATAAATGGACAACAGTTTGTGTATTTGTTTCTGTCCTGGTGGAAGGGTTCCCCACAGAGGCTAATTATACAATAGATATGTAAGCAGGTAGCCAAGTGAATAACCGAGCCAAAGTGAAGTGAGCCGAACTCCGTTCAGCTATTCACTTCGGGCCTGTACGGCTGATTTCATCGGCACCAGGGCTAAATACAGATGTCACCAGAACTGAATACATGTCCCCAAAGCAGAATCCATGTCCCCAAAGCAGAACACGTGTCGTCAAGGCAGACTAGTATTCTGCTTTGGTGACATGTATTCTGCCCGTGAGGCTGTCCATGGCTGTACCTGCGCCGGGAAGGAGGAGGAGATAAAGAACCAGGCAGGCACTGCCATGGATAGCTTCTTGCAGGTCACCAGCAAGCTGCTGAGGTCCCCACAAGCGCAGGTACTCAGCAGCTGCTGCGGTTTAAAAATGTACCAGTATCTGCCTTAAGAATCGGGGCATTTTCACAAGTACAAGTACTTGTGAAAATGCCTGGTATCGGCCCCGATACCGATACTAGCATCGGTATCTGGACATCCCTACTATATACATAACATTAAAAGGTTACTGTCCTAACCTCTTAATGTTATCTAAATAATTATACCTATTAAAGCCTGATGCTGGTAGTTTTTTTTTTTTTTTTGAATAGAGAGGGAGAGGGTTCTATTAACCATACTTATCTAAGCCAGTTTTTTGTTTGTTTGTTTTTTCCTGACAGGTGAGGTGAAGTGATGGAAAATCTCCTCAATAGGGTTACAGTTTGCAATAAAAGCCTGACAGAGACTCTAACCTTGTCCTGCTCTATCCTAAACAAAATAAAAAACATTTAACTGGAAATGGGTTAAATATTTCAACATGATCACTAATAATGTTGCAGATTTGGTATATATCACTTATATGGGTAATGGGTAGTGATGGGTTGGGCGCATTCGCAGCTCCACGTGCCGAGCACGCCAGGAAGCTGACAGCACTGCAGCGCCAATCACAGGCACTGAGACATATCCCGATCTCTGCAACTACGGACCGGGATAATGTCTCAGTAACTGTGATTTGCGCTGAGGCGCTGTCAGCTTCCTGGCGGGCCTCGGCACATGGAGCTGCGAACAAGCCCGAGCCCATCACTAGTAACGGGAGTGAACAGAGGAATCTGCCATGCCTGTTTCTAGGATTATGGTGAAAGGTATATTTTGATGTGAATTATAAATATCCAGATATTCTACTCTACCAAAATACTTATCTAGTATCACAATGTGTGGTGGACAGAAAACATATAGACTAACATCATGAACATCAGCACCTAGACTGGAGCAATTTTAAATGTTGCTTCACAATGTAAAATGGCAAGCCACTGAAAATCAAGGAGGAAAATATTGTTACAATGTACTTTAGTATTTCAGTTTCAGCAATTCAATTTTTTTATGATGTAATAAAATGCACATGAAATAAAAAGTTGTGTACCTCTTGCATCCTGTTTCTCTCAGCTTCATTTACATACAGAGGGGTTTTTGGAGGGCGTGGTGGTGGGGCCTGAAAATTATTTTCATAACGCCTTGCCATATAATACTCCTCTTCATTGATTTCTTCAGTATTTGTTCTTGTTGGCACAGTGAACACTTTTCCTTTAAAATGACCAAGCACTTGAAAAGAAAGGTTCAGTCGAAACACAGGGAGTTCCCAAACTTCTTCAGGATTGTCATATAAACTAACAAGCAGGTAAGAGTCTGTAATTTGCTCTTCCAATTTTAATACAGAAGTGTTGGCCAAAACGTCTTCTCCAATTGTAAAGAGATCCCTCACTGACACTTTAACATTTAAAGGTAGTGTAAAGTGCTTACAAAGTTCTGATAAATAGTACTGTTTGTCATCTCGCACAACCTCTATAAATCCACCTTCAACATACAAAGGAAGTGTAATAATTCCATTGCTTTTGGCTTCCATCTTTGTACAATCGAGAACATCTACAACAGTCTGTTTGCCTTCATGCATAATTTCACAGGACCGAGACCGTTTCACCTGAAACATGTCCCCAACACATACTGAGGAGAACTCCTTATGTAGTGAATGAAATGGCTTTGTTGCCACCACCTGAAGCTCAGCCATTTCCAACTTGGCAATAGTTAAGTCATAGACCGTTTGGAAAAAACGTGGTCTCCTTTTGAATTTCCCTTTGTAGTTAGCTGGAATGAGAAAATGTCTGCTTGGCGTGTCAGTTCTTATCTCAGAGGCAACAACTCGATCTGCTTGATACTTTCTGTAGACAATGATTTTTTTACCGCCATGTAAAAATGTATAAGACTTGCAACATTTAATTGGACCTTCTACAATTTCTGCAATAAATGGAAATTCATCGGTAGTTTTTTCAAAGACATCCTGAGTAGCCAGTATCTCTGTGAATGATTTAGTATTAAAGTGCTCAGTAATATCCAGTACTTCCACATCAAGATCTGATAAGAGGTTTAGAGCACCACCAACTGCAATAATGAAGAGAAAAAAAGTTTAGAAATTGTGCTACTTTCAGAAAAACTGTTTTCTTTTTGTTATAATAGTTATATCATTTAAATCTACTGTGTATGAATGCTGAAAAGAGCAGCAGGAATGCTCAAATTATAGCCACCTAATTTCTTCAAATCCATTTAACAGCATTCTGTTATATAATTCAAAATCTCCACAGTAAATTTAAAATAAAAGAGTAAACAAATATATAAAGTTCATTCATATGGTGCAGCATGAATAAAAAAAAGTTCAATGAATTAAAAGCAATGTATGAATTTAAAAATGTCATGGAAGGGCAGGCATGTAGAAGACCTTCTGGACCCCATAGGGTGGATTCATCATAATTTGTTGTTAAGACCTATGTTGTAGATGTCCTTTTGTGACATTTATGCATATTTGATTTATTATTTATTTTTATTCATGCCTCATTATAACAGTGTGTGTTTTTGCTTGGTTTCTTTCTATTTGTAGAAACTTATTTTAAGTCATCCAAGGAACAAGAAAGGTTATTTTACCCTGCAGAAAAAGGAGGTAGTTTGGTCCTATGCCAAGTGTTCCCAAATGAAGGGTCTAAATTTGTGCACTGAGCTAAACAGCTCAGTTCACACATTGGCAATCAGCTGGCTAGGCTGTGCCGCACCTCAGTCCAATCACTACATGCAGACTTTGGGCTATAGATGTCCTTTTTTTTCTACTGCTTCTCCCACAGGGCACAACTACATAGTGTGTTGCGCCTAGAGCAAACTGGATATAGCCCAATAGTCATACATTTGGTCTATCAGGATGAATGAAAATAAAGTAATTATCACAAATTGCATTGCACGATTGAGAACTTTAAAAAAATGTTTTATCAATGTTTTTATGTTTTACCAAATCATTTTTTATGAGTTATTTAAGTCCCGGAACCTTTAATTGCAAATCAGGGACTGTTGCCAACAAGAACCAAATGGCTAATCAGCTGATTTTACTAAATTTAAAATAATTTGCTATTTACATTAGGTGGTCATAATTGCCTTAAATCAGAAGCATTTTTTAAATTAAATATACATTGAATGGGAGAAGATTATGTAAATAAAAACAAATACAGAAATGAATAGGTGGACAATGCTACTACCTGTGACTCACCTTATGAAACCTTAATCTTATGTTTTTTGCAACACTTGTGCCTTAACTTTTCTAAGTATTGATTACCCCTAGGGTTGCCACCTTTTTTTCAAGGGAAACCCAAACACTCTGACGTCAATTTTTTTGGGGGAAAATATAGAGTAGAGAGCAAGATGATGCAATCAGGGGAGGATGTAAGGAGACTGGTTATAGAGGACTACAAATACCAGGAATACATTATATAGCAATACAAAATATTTTAAAGCTAAGTTGCCTGTGCGGGATCTCACTAGGGCTGTGCAGGCTCTAAAGTGGACTCTTGGGGTTCTCAGGTGGGCTGTGCAGCTCTCAGGTGGGCTATGAATGCTTTCAGGTGGTTTTGTGGGGTCGCAGGTGGGCTATGTGGCCTCTGAGGTGGGCTAAGTGGGCTCTAAGATGGGCTATGTGGGGTCTCAGGTGGGCTATGCAGACTCTAAGGTGGACTCTCAGGTCGGCTAAGCGGGCTCTCAGCTGCCTATGTGGGGTCTCAGGTGGGCTATTCAAGCTTTGCTATGTGGGCTGTGAGGGAAGTACAGGGGTCTCATCAGTGGTTCGGAGGTGGGTAGTGTGCTGACAGGAAGGAGCTGAAGGAGGAGATGTGCGAGCTGGTGTTGTGTTTATTTTTTGTTCTGTTTCCGTAACTGCGCCCCTTTCCACCTCCCTCTCTCCTAGCTCCAGTGTCCTGTCAGATCGAGCCAAACATCTCCTCTACAGGCGCCTGGCTCACAGGTAGATTCCGCTTCAGGCAGATGCAGCTGCCTGAGGTCCCGCACATTTGCTTGGGGTCTCGGCAGCTGCATCTGTCATAAAATTTCAAGTGTCAGTATCGGTACTTGTAGGGTTATTCACAAAAGGGTGAAGAGTTTGGAGAAGGCAGGAGAAGTAATCAATATAGGCCAAAATAGCTGATTTGGAAGAATTCTCCAATTCAGTTCACTTTTCATTTCAGCTATGTTGTCTTAGATTGTTAATTTCTCCTGCCTTCTCCAAATTCTTCACCCTTTTGTAAATAACGCTGTTAGTGTCTTGTGTCCGGATGTCAGCTGGCCTGGACAAGAATCAAAAACCGGACTGTCCGGGTGAATCCCGGACAGGTGGCAACCCTAATTACACCTTCCTACTTACATCTCCTTTGCGGATTTATGTAATATGTCTGATTCCTTCTCCGATTTTATGCTCCCAGCCATTCTCCTTTCATCATAAGTAATAAACTAACCAACTGTTGAATGAAAAACAACCAATCTTTTCTTTTTTTTTTTAACTGTACTTACATTGCATTTGGGCTTGTATTTCATAAATGGGGCTCAGAATCATCATTCCATTAATGAAAGCATTGTAAATTTTTTTGTTGTCTCCTATCTCCATAATATCTGTAAGAATGACAGTTCTCGCTCTGTTATTTTGAATTTTCCAGTCTAAAATCTCTTTGAGTGTGTATATCCTTTCGTCTTGGCACTCAAAAAACTCTCCAGTGTAGGAAAGAGGGAGAGAAAAAGAATAAAGTGTTCCTTCCAGTATGACTTTACACTTAGCTGACATGGCTCCATTTACTTTATCTACAGAGTGGAACATGATGTTTGTGCCTTTTTCTATGGCGACGTCTCCCACATGTAGTACTGAACTGCTGTACAAGCAAGGGTGGCCGAACTGCGTGGGTCCAATATGTAGTGTCTGTACAATCTCTTCAACTGAGTGATAAGGGTCCTTATCAGCAACAACTCTAAATAAACCTATAATAAAACATAAAACAGTTAAATTACTCACACAGAGGAATACAAAATTGCCAAAACTGAATAGCTTGCAATTTAACGGGCCATATATTGCCGAACTAACACCAGATGGGCTAATTAGAAGCCCTTAAACATAATATGGATGTTCATAGAAAGCAATAAACTGTAATTATATGACCTGACGTTATGCTGCCTGCTTTATGTAACTGACAATCCAGGAACAATAAAGAATCTGCTGTTATTTAGAAAGAATGTTTATACATCAATAAATGTGTGCAAAAATAACAGTTTTTCTTCCATTTACACTAGTAGTGCAGTTGAATCTGTTTAAGCGCCATTACTCAAGGATTTCTCTATTTTAACTGCTACCAGGCTATAACACTTGCTGTTTGCTCTAATGACCAAGCCACTGTGACCCAAAAGTAAAAAAGATGTACACTGGGTCTTTAAATGAAGACCCTTTGCCAATGGCTTACACAGAATAATACTCTGGTGCTAATAATTACAAACTGTAATAAGAGTTAAAACATTTTAGTTATTTTAATTAAGTTTTCATACCTGGAAAATCAGGAGGAAGTTCCATTGTTGGCAACATGTCATATTCGTTGCTTGTAAAAAGATGAGCCAGGACATTCTTTACTCTGCAACCAGTTATTTTAAGTATGTCTCCTGTTGAGAGGGAACATTCATTTCCACAAAGTTCATAAAGGGAGCCTACATGATTTAAAAGGGAAAACAGCATTAATAGTAGCAAAAATAGAAGAAAGCTGCTTACTTGATTTACGTAACGGGAATCTGTCATGTTGCTTATTCAGGCAATGTGGCAGATTTTTTTGAAAGCTCCCACCCAGCCACCTACACGCGCACACACACACACACACTGATGCGCACTTTATCAGCACTCTCCTGCAGCGCCTTTCATGCATTGGAGCCATGGGTCTAAACTCAAGGCTATTGACCTGCTTTCCTACCCCACATGGCATGGTTCAGGTTTGGTAAATGTCCTCTAAGGCCCAAGCACTGCATCCTGGTAGTAAGGGGAAATGGTCACATGTTCGCACATACACTGAGTATTTCTAGGGCTCCAACGGACGAATGAAGGGGTGGGGGAGTGCAAAAAGGATGAGTAGCATTTAGTAGGAAGGAGATGCTTTTAAGATAACTTGTCACTTTGCCCTGAATGGCAGATTCTTATTACAATGTGAAAACAATTTGCTTCTTAGTTTATTATAGAGTAGGGAGGAAGTTTAACACCTCTGCTGGGTTTTTTATTGTCATGTGGGTTTCTGTTGAGATTTCCCTTCACTTTCCTGTCCCAATGACAACCATACCTGAAACAGAAAGTAAGGGCAATTTCCAAAACAGTAATTCAGGCAGCAATTTAATCTGGCAGATGGTTTAACTTTTCTATTAAAATAGTTGTTCTTATTGCTGTGCATATCCCCACTGAAGAAATCTCCTGTATCAGTGATCATAGTCAGTGGGGAAATAAGTGAAGAGTTTCTGATCCTTCCCCACTCCATCCATAAATAAGGAACAAATAAGTTTTGGCAGGAGTTCTACTGAATATACCTTCTGATATTAAGAAACATACTTGATGGAATAGCAGTAAAGAGATTGTAAATATGAAAGCACACACAAATTCAAGTAATATAGCCTGACTCTGGCGCCATGTGTCAGACCAAGGAGTCTTGTTATAAATCAGAGAATGTGACTTTCTATAATCATTTTCTGGTAGATAATCAATCCCTGCTATTTAATAACATGCACCTGGAAGATTCACCTGCTAACAATGTTTGCTAAATGTCAGATTATCTGCCTTATAAATATACCCCCAAATGTCTTTATGACCAAGTGCCTACTAATATGGTTAAGCAGACCAGAAGACCCTGAGTAGATGTCAGGTTGTGTAATACATATAACCCAGAATCATAAGCTTTAACATACAATATTGTTAACTTCATTATTTTTAAGCCACATTATTTGTTGAAATGAAGCATTAAATTAAATGTAATCATTAATTGATGTATTGGCTCTATCTTATTTATTATCTCCCTCCTCTGTGGCTCTGTTTGTGATGTGTTACTATTTATCTGACTGAAATATTTGCATTCAGATGTAGCTGATTGTGTGGATATACTTAAAAGTACATTATTCATAAAGTGGGGCTCTGCATTAGAAAAGGGTTTTTAAGGCATTGAAAGAATAGTCGAATAAAAGTATATTTTGCAATTTAAATGGATGTTTCAGTCTTGGTTTATTGGATCAGACCACTCTTTGGGGTTGATTTACTAACCTCACAAACACGCCACAAACACGCCATGCAAAAACACGCCGATTGCGCGCGCGCGTGCGCGTATACGCTTGGCGCGGAAGCGTATGCACACATGAGGTTTCAAAATAGGACCGATTAAGGTAGAATGTAGCGTGTTTAAGAAAAAAAAATACTGTACATCTGAGTGTGAGGTTATTTCATATAACTATCTTTTACATAATTCAAGTATATACACATCAGCGTAGGTCCTAGTTTAGTTTATGGATAAAATAAAGTTGCCATATACAGTATAAGGTGCTTCATAAAAAACACATTTATTTTCTATAATTTGCATTTATATAGTCAATTATAAATCATTTACAAATCCTGGCCATAACCTAATATTAGAATAGTATATCTACAGGCTGTGATAGAGAAAACGTGTGTTGGGATCACAGACTGCATTAAAAATTTCACTGAAAAATCTCCTGAACAGGGACAGAAAAAGCATATAAAAACCAACAAAACAAACTCTTCCCACTTCTATTCCAAACTAAACAAAAAAACTTTTAGCTGGAGTTGGGCTATCTATCTATCTATCTATCTACTAATTATCTATCATCAGTTAAATCTACCTTCTAGTTATATTTACTATTTCATACACATTTGAAAGCATTCTTTGGTATCCTCAGATTCCTTTTCACTGTGTGACTATTGAAAACCATGAAGAGAAAATGTAATGATTCATTGCATTATATCTATTTCTCTTTATCCTTACACCATCATTATTCTTGTTATCCAGTGTCTGTGTCTGTGATGGGGCTATAATATAAAAATTGCTGCAAGGACATTTCTGAATTTCCTATCACAAACTCTGATACCCAAATGGAGAGTTTCTACAACTACATACATCATTTGATGTATGTAATATACATCAAATGAACTAATGTAATTTCCAAAAAGATTTGATACAAAAGCAGAAACACACGCAACCACACCTGTTCTAACTGCTGCCTCCAGCAAAGAGAACCAATATTAAAAGCAACTACATTTCTAGGGACTAATATTGTATTGCTTCCTAAATGTCTTATACCACTTCAATTTATTTTGATATCCTGTTTTTTTAAAAATTGAACACACAAAGAAAGTCAAATATAATACCTGTAATTCATGTTTGTAAAAATTGAATAAACCACTGTAATGTTGTATTCAGAAAGCTTGTTTCTATTGTAGAATATGTAATTATAATAGACATAAAACACATTTTCCCACCATACATGTGGAGTCAGTGTGATGCCTCTTCTACATACCTATAGATCCTAAAGGTCCACTACTGCAGCTTTGGGTACATCTTTCTCTTACTACCACCTCTCTTTCTCATCACTGTATATCTTATCCAGTAGTTAGATACAGTTTAGTTTATTCACTTTGATTGCATTTTTTTATCTTCATAGTGTCTGTCTGTTTACTAGCTCTAGGATATGCTGGAAAACTACTTATGACTAGATCTACAGTTGTGTGAAAAAGTGTTGGCCCCCTTCCTGATTTTTCATTGTTTTGCATGTTTGTCACACTTTAATGTTTCAGATCATCAAACAAATTTAAATATTAGTCAAAGATAACACAAGTAAACACAACATGCAGTTTTTACAGGAAGGTTTTTATTATTAAGGGAAAACAAAATCCAAACCCACATGGCCCTGTGTGAAAAAGTGTTTGTCCCCTAAACCTAATAACTGGTTGGGCCACCCTTAGCAGCAAGAACTGCAATCAAGCGTTTGCGATAACTTGCAATGAGTCTGTCACAGCGCTGTGCAGGAATTTTGGTCTACTCATCTTTGCAGAATTGTTGTAATTCAGCCACATTGGAAGGTTTTCGAGCATGAACCGCCTTTTTAAGGTCATGCCACAGCATATCAATAGGATTCAGGTCAGGACTTTGACTAGGCCACTCCAAAGTCTTCATTTTGTTTTTCTTTAGCCATTCAGAGGTGGACTTGCTGGTGTGTTTTGGATCATTGTCCTGCTGCGGAACCCAAGTTGTGTGAAAAAGTGTTGGGGGCCAACACTTTTTCACACAACTGTATATACCATACAACAGATTTATGACTTCGTTATGCCAATTGATTATGTTTAGTAATTTTAAGATACATTTTTACAGCACTCGGTAAGCACTGGTTCTAGATAGAACTAGGACTGCTTTACTTTAACTCTGAATACTTTCATATTTATTTCACAGGTCACTAGCTGTATTTTCAGAGGAGTTTGCTTTACATTTTTGATTTTTTTCTATAATTATACAGTATGTTTGTATTTTTGTATTACAACAACTATAAAAAAAAGATGTTGTTTTAGGTTTTTTTGGAGCTCGATTTGTGTTGTCTTGTTTTAAAATATACAGGAAATGATCTACTATCATTATTATAATTTTTTTACTTTTTATTGAATTATTGAAACTTGTCACAGGGTATAGTCTGTACAAATCAATAAATACTTTAGAAGTATATCTTTGAGCGGCAATAGTGAGATATGAGCTCCGTCATACTTAGTTAGGGATGCACCGATATATCAGCCGCCGAAACATATTGGCCGAAAATGGCACTTTTGGCATAATGCCAAAAGTGCCATTTTCCTGCTGATACATCGGCGCATCCATGATTTATTTCACAAAGAAGCGCCCAGCGGGGAGGAGAGAAACTGTGATAGCCGGCCGAGCGTTGCGGGAGGAGAGCGCTGTGAGCGGCCAGAGTCTCCTCCCACACCGCTCAGTCTCCTATCACAGTCTGGCAGAGCGCTATCACAGGAGGCTGAGCTCCCCTCTCTACACCACTCGATCAGCCTCCTGAGATAGCGTGTCAGAGAGGAGAGCAAGGTACAAACACTCAGTGATCATTGATCGCTGAGTGTTTGTAGATAATTGAGGACATGGTATGTTAACTATAGCCTCAATTATGAATGAATGGGAAGTGATCTACATCACCCCCTGTTCATTCATAATTGTGGTTATAGTAAACCTACCATGTCCTCATGTTATCAATTAACAGGGACACTCATAGAGGATTCCTGTACATTGATAACAGGGGATACAGAAAAAGAGACTGAGGACTTCGTGTCCTCAATCTCTTTTTCTATTTAAAAAGGGAAATATCAGGGGTCTGTTTAGACCCCTAATATTTCCCCGAAGCCCCTAAAAGTAAAGTAAAAAATAAAAATATTTAATAAAAAATGGATAAATAAAAATAAATATAAAAAAATTAAAACGTTTATAAAAAGTAAATAAAAATAAAATATTTAAAAAATTTGAAAAAATAAAAAACATTTTTGGTATCGGTTTTGGCCTGACAATTTTTTTTATTTCGGTTTTGTTTTTGTTTAAAATTTCCATTTTGGTGAACCTTTAGTGCTAATCTGACTTTTTCTAACTGGTTACGCCTTGTCCTCCTTGTGTACCTTGAGTGAT